GTGCAAACTCCACCCAGAAAGTCCCCCGGACCAGGGTTTGAACCAGGGTAACTTTCTCGCTGAGAGGCAGCAGCTCTACCAGTAGTGCCAGTGTGCTGCTCTGGAGAAAAACAGAGTGTCATTTTATTTTTGTGCCTTTTTTCTTGTCCGAGGCAGCAGAGAGTGATGAATTCTGGCGAGTGGAGGGAGCAAACGCATACAAAAAAATACAACAAACTCAAGATTCATTCAGGACTTATTGGTAGCGATACATCTTTTGGTGTAGCTCAGTGCTTCTCAAATATTTTTTAATGTACAGTATACCAGCAAGTTTATCCACCAACAGCTGCAATAGAGGAGCCACTGGAGGCCTTGGCCACTACAGTTTCATATATGGCCACCCTTATCATTTGAGGAAACTTAACTTCCATCCATCCATCCATTATCTTTTACCCGCTTCTTCCATTTTGGATCAAGGAGGTTGCCGGTGCCTATATCCAGCAATCGCTGTGCGAGGGGTGGGTACACCCTGGACAGGTCGCAAGTCCATCACAGGGACACTTATAAGATTATAAGACACTTATAAGACACTTATAAGACACTTATAAGACACTTATAAGGGGCTATAGAGACAAATGAGACCTCACTCACCTAGGGACAATTTAGAGTTACCAATCAGCCTAACATGCATGTTTTTGGTCTGTGGGAGGAAACTGGAGTACCCGGAGAAAACCCACGCATGCACAGAGAGAACATGCAAACTCCACGCAGAAAGGCCTCCGGACGGGGATTTGAACCAGGGGCCTGCTCGCTGAGAGGCAGCAGCTCTATCTGTTGTTCCACCATGCTGCCTGAAACTTAATTTTTAAGTAAAAAAATAAATAAATAAAAAAAACTAGAAAGCAGCCTTTCCTCAAATGACTGGGGTGGCTGGTTTACACATCTGGTGGTCATCTTATATATATATATATATATATTTTTTTTTTTTTGGATTTAGCAGCTCAGTTTTTAACAGTGACCTTTTTTACGTCTAAGCCACACAGCGAAATAGTCATTCATTTTTCTAGTTATCCAGATATATACATGGATGGTGGCAATCATCTTGGATTTTGACGTGGCAATCCCATTTTTGAAAAGAACATTTATTATGATTAGATGCAGCCGCACACGCATAGAAGACATGTCTCACTTATTTTTCAAGTTATCATGCTGACAATATACACGGACTGAAGACGTTTCCAATTCCCCCTCTGTTACGTTGGGACAACAAGAGGTAAATGTCCTAAAGGTCTAGACCAGGGTTATTCAACTGGTGGCCTATGGGCCAAATTAGGCCCATGAGTGTGCTCAGTTTGGCCCACCAGTTGGTTTATTTTTAAATAAAACTAGATTTTAAACTGTAAGACAAACTTACTTAATGACAATAATTGTTGGATGTCTTGCCCCTGAGCTCTTGGCTTTCAATAACTGTGGCCCCCTGCTCTATCGCTGTTTTTCAAAGTAAGATTGGACATGACAGACAATTGACTGATTGATGGATGAGCTGCACGATCATCATGGAATTTTAATTTTAAATAAATTATTTTAAATGATTTAGCACCTGTGTGCAGCCCACAGCTGTGGAGAAGCTTCCTCCTAAAGATGATTAGATGATCTCCGTGCAGTGGAGAAGTGGGCGTGGCCGAAAGTGCAGCTGGAGGCAGAGAGCTGAAATCATGACATGCTGTGCTCTTTTAAAGCGTTTAGAGTTTAGAAACATTGTTTAGAATATTGCAAGAGTGTGGAAAGGGTTTGAAACGCCTTAATATAAACAAGTGCTGGTCATAAAACTAGAATATCAAGAAAAAGTTGATTTATTTATTCGTTACACACAGACTGATATATTTCAAATGTTTATTTCTTTTAATGTTGATGATTATAACTGACAACTAATGAAAACCCCAAATTCAGTATCTCAGAAATTTAAGCATTACTTAAGACCAATAAAAAAAGGATTTTTAGAAATGTTGGCCAACTGAAAAGTATGAACATGAAAAGTATGAACATGAAAAGTATGAGCATGTACAGCATCAGTACTTAGTTGTGGCTCATTTTGCCTGGATTACTGCAGCAATGCTGTGTGGCATGGAGTCATTCAGTCTGTGGAACTGCTCAGGTGTTATGAGAGCCCAGGTTATTATGATAGTGACCTTCAGATCTTCTGAAGTGTTGGGTCTGGCGTATCACATCTTCCTCTTCAGAATAAGGTCAGGTGAGTTTGCTGGTCAATTAAGAACAGGGATACCATGGTCCTTAAACCAGTTACTGGTAACTTTGGCACTGTGTGCAGGTGCCAAGTCTTGTTGGAAAATGAAACCTGCATCTCCATAAAGTTGGTCAGCAGCAGGAAGCAGGAAGTGCTCTAAAACTTTCTGGTAGACAGCTGCGTTGACCTTAGACCTCAGAAAACACAGTGGACCAACACCAGCAGATGACATGGCACCCCAAACCATCACTGACTGTGGAAACTTGACATTGGACCTCAAGCAACGTGGATTCTGTGCTTCTCCTCTTCCTCCAGACTCTGGGACCATCCATCCATCCATCCATCCATCCATTATCTTTACCCGCTTATTCCATTTTGGGTCACGGGGGTCGCTGGTGCCCATGTCCAGCAATGTCTGTGCGAGGGGCGGGGTACACCTGGACGGGTCGCAAGTCCATCACAGGGCCACATAGAGACAAACGAGACAAACAACCATTCACTATCTCACTCACACCTAGGGACAATTTAGAGTTACCAATCAGCCTAACATGCATGTTTTTGGACTGTGGGAGGAAACCGGAGTACCCGGAGAAAACCCACGCATGCATGGAGAGAACATGCAAACTCCACCCAGAAAGGCCCCTGGACCGGGGTTTGAACCAAGGACCTGCTCGCTGAGAGGCAGCAGCTCTACCAGTTGCGCCACCGTGCTGCCGACTCTGGGACCTTGATTTCCAAAAGAAATGCAAAATTTACTTTAATCAGAGAACAACTTTGGACCACTCAGCAGCAGTCCAGTCCTTTTTGTCTTGAGACGCTTCTGACGCTGTCTATTGTTCAAGAGTTGTTTTATATTCTGTACTCCGGAAGTCAGACTTGTTTTTCTGGCGCTCCGTTACCCCCCCCCCCCCCCCGGCTCGCTCTCTTTCGTCCTGTGAACCCTTAAAGAGACACTTTTTTTTCCCTGCATGCCTCTTAATTCGAAGGATCAGCTGGTCTCTCATTAAAATTGAACAACTCCTGACATGAGGCCGTGGACATGTGACAGAACCTCAACTGAGCTGACGATGAACGTCACCTCTTATCTGGACAATGGCTTGGGGGGGGGGGGGGGGGCTTTGGACTATGCTATGACTTTCCCTTAAAAATTCAATCTCTTCACTGGTCTATATGTACATGTATAACATCTGTTTATGTTGCTTTGCTGTGGTAGGTTTTTTTGATGCCTCAAATCGTGCTCCGTCTAGGACACGGTGTGAGAGATCTTTTTATTTATACCGTCTCTCCTCATGTTTTCTTCCCTTTTCTCATCTAAGCAAAATATTATTCTGAATAAGAAGGCCGCACTTTTTTTATAGTAGCAGCTTCGTGCACTCCACCCATCTTTCGGACGACTGTACGTACATGTTCTCGTTGTATCTCAGTGCAATGATAATGAAGCTTATTCTGATTCTGAAGGGTGGCTTGACACAAGGAATGACAGCTGAAACCCATGTCTTGCATACGTCTGTGTGTGGTGGTTTATCCCTGTTGCTTGTACACTTTTTTCTACCACATCATTTCCTTCCCTTCACCCATCTAGTAGTGTGCTTGGACACAGAGCTCTATGAACAGCCAGCCTCTTTAGCAATGACCTTTTGTGTCTTGGCGTCCTTGTGCAAGGTGTTTTTTGGACAACTGTCAAGTCAGCAGTCTTCCCCATGGTTGTGTAGCCTACAGAACTAGACTGAGAGACCATTTAAAGGCCTTGGCAGATGTTTTGAGTTAAGTAGCTGATTAGAGTGTGGCACCAGGTGCTTTCAATATTGAACCTTTTCACAATATTCTAATTTTCTGAGATAGTAAATTTGGGGTTTTCATTAGTTGTCTGTTATAATCATCAACATTAAACTAAATAAACATTTGAAATATATCAGTCTGTGTGCAATGAATGAATATAATATACAGGTTTCACTTTTTGAATGGAATTACTGAAATAAATCAACTTTTTCATGATATTCTCATTTTATGACACCAGCACCTATATATACACTAGTATATATATATATATACACTAGTATATATATATATATATATATATATATATATATATATATATATAAATACTAAAATAAACTACTACTTACTACTTGTACTACTATTCCTACTTCGTGGTTTTTCACTTATCATGGGTCTTCAGGGTACGGATCCCCTGCGATAAATGAGGGACTACTGTTGTTGAATAGTCCTGGTCTAGATGCTATCCGGTCCTGCAGACATGTAGAAATTGAGTGCACACACAAACTAAACAGTATATGATGGTAATAATTTTTTTGTATTTCCAAACATCTCAAAAAGTTCAAATTTAAAATTAAAGACACACTCAAAAATAATTTCCAGTAGCAAATCTTTTCAGAAACTAACAAATCCACAAAAGTGGTACTCAAAGTGGAAAACACCAACTATGTAAAAATGGCAAACATTTCCTTAAAATATTCAAAAATTCTCAGGTTCAGACATAAAACTTTTAAACATAAAAACTTTTTTTTTGTTCCAAAGGAAAAAAAACATTTCAGATCACATAAAATGAATGTTGCTACCTTTGAGGATTAAACGCACTGTAAAAGACGTCTCGTTCTCATCCAATAGTAACCTTTTTGCTCGAGGTTTCTCACACCACAACAAAACTCACTGAAAATAATTAAATACATAAAATTAAATGAACATTTTTAACTCAGTGGCACTAAAATGTCATGATGTAATTCTAAAACTTGCACAGAGAGGCTAAGTTTGGTTTAAAATAGTAACATCTCAGAAGTCTGACCCTGATATTCATGCTTAAATATAAAAATAAAATACAACAGTCCTAACAAATAAAAGCATATCAACTGTTTATTGACCTTGTTTTTACGTCGTCTATTTTATTTGTTTAGTTTAAACAATTCACTGCTGAAACTGTTTTTAATTATATCGTAACAGAATCCTGTTTTTTCTTCTAAGGCTGGAGTGTTAGTTTTTTATTTTGCAGAGATGAATTATGATATTTCGACCTTATTTTGGCTCACCGGAGAGCCAACTCGACACACAAAGTCACGTTATACTGAATGCCTCTGCCGCCATATGATTATTGTCTTTAACCATTTTCTTTTAAAGGTCTACATCAGTATTTGGAGGCGTCTGATTGATGCCTGATGGAGTCACTGCATGAGACACTTTTCTTTCTGCTGCTTAGCGTACTTCCTCCTCCGCAACTCCAGTCCTCGATTCAGGCGTTCATCCTCTTCCAGAGCTCTGGGGAGAAGAAGAAGAGTCACATTCAGCTGATCACATCTACCGTATTTTCCGCCGTAGACATCGCTTCGCCCTACAAGTCACATCAGTCCAAATATGTCTAATAAAGTGGAAAAATCCATAAATATGTTACTTCAGCTGACTGTTGATAATCTGTCTGAAGTTTTTTAAATTGTTTGCAAACAAACTACAATAACCTTTTTGGTGCATGTACAAATTAAACATAAAAACAAGAACAATTTTGCATTCTTTCACCTAGTGTGCCCATAAAACTTAAGGCTGATTTATACAGTAACTCATCAGATGTGCCTAGATTGTTTCTTGCTAATGCGGTTGTGAGACAAAAATTACGTTTTGTTTTTTTAATGGTTCTGTGCACGCACCTCTGGTAAACCTATTTTCTTGCAGGAGTAAAAGTATTGCGTAACTGGCAGAACTTTGTGGGCCTGTTTATGTAGAAAAGCAGCTGAACTACATTCATGTAATTTAGCTTCAAATACTCCGCTGAGCATCAGCTGGCCGAGGCTGTTAGAAAATACAGCCATCTTTACAACCGTTCCTGCAAAACTTATATAGACCATCAAAGAACTTGTGGAAGGACATAGCACATTTTTTGTGCACGGGGGAGACAACGCATAGACAAGGGCAGCTCTCCGTGACTGTGCTGTCCTGGGGTCAGTACACCTCAGCCAGGCAGTATTAGGACACGTTCCCACACTGTTGGAAACAGTGGCTGTCTCTTTTGGACAAATTTGCAAATTAGCGTTTCTCCTCGGCAGCGGTGGTCTCTGATCTGGGCAATGTAGGCAGCTGCCCAGGGCGGCATGAGCACCTGCCTATTAAATAACCATTGTGAGGCAAAGAATTATGAACGTTTGATAATGATACAATTGATGCATAACATAGAGATTTTACGTTTGGTATTTTAATGCAAATTCTGTTGTTCGTCCAGTGCACCAAACAGGCTAGGACCGCCCCTGCTGCCCTGTTAACAACAGAAACACAAGATGTTCCTCCTCCAGCTCCCCCATCATCCATTGAAAATAAACATCCACTCTGACAACCGTGCAAGTTCTGTTTGCTCATGAAATAGGCTACCATGTCTTACGTCTTGTAAAATATAAATCTACTTTAGTTTGTGCGTTCATTCATGCTTCCAACTTAAGTTATATTTGAGCTCAAAATATGCTCTTTAAAACAAGAACTGTGGCTCGGTGGTCATCAGATCTGGTAATCCTAATGCTTACAACTGGAGTAAAACCAAATCTTTCGTATGAGTTTGATCGCTGTGGCGACCCCTGCAGAACGGAGCAGCTGACAGAAGAACAAGGTTCTTCCAAACTACAGAAGGGTTTTTAACATGTCTTATCTCCAACAAAATAACTAGAAATATAAAAAAACATCACGTGTGACCATCAGAACGTTGTGCCTCCATAGTCCAAGTATTAGGATCTGACTTCTAGCTTACACACAGAGAGTACAAACCGGATTCCAAAAAGTTGGGACACTAAACAAATTGTGAATAAAAACTGAATGCAATGATGTGGAGGTGTCAAAATCTAATATTTTATTCAGAATAGAACACAAATCACAGATCAAAAGTTTAAACTGAGAGAATGTATCATTTTAAGGGAAAAATCTGTTGTTTCCAAATTTCATGGCATCAACAAATCCCAAAAAAGTTGTGACAAGTCCATTTTTACCACTGTGTGGCATCCCCCCTTCTTCTTACAACACTCAACAGACGTCTGGGGACAGAGGAGACCAGTTTCTCAAGTTTAGAAATAGGAATGCTCTCCCATTCATGTCTAATACAGGCCTCTAACTGTTCAATCGTCTTGGGCCTTCTTTGTCGCACCTTCCTCTTTATGATGCGCCAAATGTTCTCTATAGGTGAAAGATCTGGACTGCAGGCTGGCCATTTAATTACCCAGATCCTTTTCCTACGTAGTCATGATGTTGTGATTGCTGCAGAATGTGGTCTGGCATTATCGTGTTGAAAAATGCAGGGTCTTCCCTGAAAGAGATGACGTCTAGATGGGAGCATATGTTGTTCTAGAACCTGAACATAGTTCTCTGCATTAATGGCGCCTTTCCAGACATGCAAGCTGCCCATGCCACAAGCGCTCGTGCAACCCATACCATCAGTGATGCAGGCTTCTGAACGGAGCATTGATAACAATTTGGGCTATCCTTGTCCTATCTGGTCTGGATGACATGGTGTCCCAGTGTTCCATAAAGAACTTCAAATCGTGACTCATCTGACCACAGAACAGTCTTCCATTTTGCCACACTCCATTTTAAATGACCCCTGGCCCAGTGCAAACGTCTGAGCTTGTGGAGCTTGCTTAGAAATGGCTCCTCTTTGCACTGTAGAGTTTCAGCTGGCAACGGCGGATGGTACGGTGGATTGTGTTCACTGACAATGCTTTCTGGAAGTATTCCTGAGCCCATTCTGTTATTTCCTTGACAGTGGCATTCCTGTTTGAGGTGCAGTGACGTTTAAGGGCCCGGAGAACACAAGCATCCAGTAGAGTTTTACGCCCTTGACCCTTACGCACAGCGATTGTTCCAGATTCTCTGAATCTTTTGATGATGTTATGCATGGTTGATGATGATAACTTAAAAGTCTTTGCTATTTTACGCTGGGTAACACCATTCTGGTATCGCTGCACTATCTTTCTGTGCAACAATGGTGGAATTGGTGATCCTCTTACCATCTTGGCTTCTGAGAGACACTGACACTCTGAGAAGTTCTTTTTATACCCAATCATGTTGTCAATTGACCTAATTAGTGTTAATTGGTCTTCCAGCTGTTTGTTATATGCTCAATTTCCTTTTTCCAGCCACTTATTGCTACTTGTCCCAACTTTTTTGGGATTTGCTGACACTGTGAAATTTTGAATCAACATATTTTTCCTTTAAAATGTTACATTTACTCAGATTAAACTTTTGATCTGTCATCTATGTTATATTACGAATAATATATTGACATTTGCCATCTCCACATCATTGCATTCAGTTTTTATTCACAATTTGTTTAGTGTCCCAACTTTTTTGGAATCTGGTTTGTATTTGAGGCTCACTTTTCAGTCTGTTTCTGTCTGTCTCTCAAAAATGTGGCAGTCAGTCCGGGAGTGAGACAGGTGTGTGGTTATCATGGTGACTATAATGATCCACCAACAGCAGCTTTAACAAATTTATTTTACATCTTGGTTCTCTGTACTCTGCATTTCACACATTAAAATATAGTCCCTTTATTCTGAGCTTAGATTATTTTAAAGCTATGTTTTGTGCAGCAGCTGCATCAGGATCCTTCAATATTTCCTCCAAAAATTTCTGCTTCCATTTTTTGCACACTCGCTGCAAATTCTGTCGTTAGAACTCTGCAGCATCGAGCTGAACTCGTCCCGTGAAGACAAAAGACTTAGGGTCAGGCTACAGAAACGAATGGAAGTCAATGTGATGTCAGACTGGTGTGTTTGTGTGAGAACATTACCCTCTTTCCTTGGTGTCCATACTATGGACCAGCTCGTCTCTCTGGTTGACCAGAGACACTAACTCCTGAAGCAGCAGCTGCTCTCTGTGTTTCTGAGCCTGAGACTTCTGACCCTCTGCAGGACAACACAACAAAACAAAACAACTTGAAGCACAGAATGTGGAGAAATGGACTAAAGTCTTCTTCCTGGGTAGCACAATGACTAGCCAAGCAAGTTCTACTGTTTATGGTTTTTATTGCCTTTTTTTTACAAATGACATTCTGGTGTGAAATCATCTACATTAGCTAATGTTATTGTAATGCTTCATGGTTTTAGGTGGTCCAGTGTGGTAAGGTTTGATTTTTGAGTCTTCTGCAGATTGATTAATCAGTATGTCAAAGTTTTCTATGTTCTCAGCCTGTGGAAGTATCAGTTTCTCTGTTTGCCTTTTCCTTCCCACCTGTCCCTCTTCAGTAATCATTCCCACTGTGACCACTCTCATCCAACCTCCCAGCAGATAAAAAGCTCTTTGTTTACACTCAGGGTGTCTTATCCTCATGTGAATCGTCTTCGTCGTCTTTTTCTTCTTAGTCTTCTTCTTTTGGCTTTTCCCTCTTCAAGGGTCACCACAGCGAGTTATCCTCCTCCATCTCTGTCCTCTGCATCCTCTGTCCTCACTCCATCTACCTCCATGTCCTCTCTAACTGCATCTATATATCTCCTCTGTCTTTTTCCTGGCAGCTGCATTTCTAACATCCTTCTACCAGTATACCCACTGTCCCTCCTCTGGACATGTCCAAACCATCTCAGTCTGGCCTCTCTAACTTTATCTCAGTATCTTTATCTCAACCTGTGCTGTACCTCTGATGATCTCATTCCTAATCTTATCCATCCTTGTCACTCCTAAGGAGAACCTCAACATCTTCATTTCTGCCACTTCCAGCTTTTTCTCCTGTCTTTTTGTCCATGTCTCCATCTCCAGACCATACAATATAGCTGGTCTCACCACTGTCTTGTAAACTTTTTCTTTGACCTTTGCTGACACCCATCCATCCATTTTCTTCTGCTTATCCGGGGTCGGGTCACCAGGTAGCAGCCTAGGTAGGGAGGCCCAGACTTCCCTCTCCCCAGCCACTTGGGTCAGCTCCTCTGAAAGAATCCCATGGCGTTCCCAGGCCAGCCGAGAAATGTCCCTCCAGCGTGTCCTGGGTCTTTCTCTGGGTCTACTCCTGGTGAGACGTGTCCGGAACACCTTACCTGGGAGGCGTCCAGGAGGCATTCTAACCAGATGCCCGAGCCACCTCAACTGGCTCCTCTCGACGTGGAGAAGCAGCGGCTCTACTCTGAGTCCCTAAAGGATGATCGAGCTTCTCACCCTATCTCTATGGGAGAGCCCAGACACCCTGTTGAGAAAACTCATTTTGGCCGCTTGTATCCGAGATCTCGTTCTTTCGGTCATAACCCAAAGCTCATGACCATAGATGAGGGTAGGAACGTAGATCGACCGGTAAATTGAGAGCTTCGCCTTTTGACTCAGCTCTCTCTTCACCACGACAGACCGGTACAGCGCCCGCTTTTCTGCAGACGCTGCACCTATCCGCCTATCGATCTCACGCTCCATTTTTCCCTCATTCGTGAACAAGACCCCGATATACTTGAACTCCTCCACTTGGGGCAGGACCTCCTCCCTGACCCAGAGAGGGCACTCTACCCTTTTCCGGCTCAAGACCATGGCCTCAGATTTGGAGGAACTGATCCTCATCCCAGCTGCGTCACACTTGGCTGTGAACCGCTTAAGCGAAAGCTGTAGATCACGACCTGATGAAGCCAACAGGACCACATCATCTGCAAAAAGCAGAGACGCGATCCTAGGGTCACCAAAATGGATCCCCTCAACACCTTGGCTGCACCTAGAAATTATGTCCATAAAAGTTATGAACAGAATCGGTGACAAAGGGCAACCTTGGTGGAGTCCAACTCTCACTGGGAACGAGTTTGACTAGACCAAGCTCTGACACCGGATGTACAGGGACCTAACAGCCCGTATCAAAGGTTCTGGTACCCCATACTCCCGGAGTACCCCCCCACAGGGTTCCCCGAAGGACGTGGTCAAACGCCTTCTCCAAGTCCACAAAGCACATGTAGACTGGTTGGGCAAACTCCCACACACCCTCCAGGACCCTGCTGAGAATGTAGAGCTGGTCCAGTGTTCCACAACCAGGATGAAAACCGCACTGCTCCTCCTGAATCCAAGGTTCATCTATCCGACAGACCCTCCTCTCCAGAACCCCCAAATAGACCTTATCAAGGAGGCTTAAGAGCGTGATCTCCCTGTAGTTGGAACACACTCTACGGTCCCCCTTTTTGAATAGGGGGACCACCACCCCAGTCTGCCAATCCAGGGGAACTGCCCCCGATGTCCACACAATATTGCAAATATCCTCCTTTGCTGACACCTTTTTGTCGCAAATCCCTCCTGAAACTTTTCTCCATCCACTCCATCCTGTCTGGACTCTCTTCTTCACCTCTTTACCACACTCCCCATTTTCCTGGAGAGTGGACCCCAAGTACTTGGAAGTCCTGCACCTTTATGACACCAAAAATATGTGAAAAAGATGTGTAGTGTAGCGTTGGCTGTTAAAGAAAAGTGTTGCTGCTAGGAGAGCAAAGTCTACCTTCAGTTGCCATCATGTCTCTCAGCTCTTTGGTCAACAGCTCAAATCTTCTTTCCAGATCTTGTTCTTCCAGCCTGTCGACAACAAAAACACGCATCATACGAGACAAAGCTTACCAGCAAGGGCGTACTGCATTTTCCAGTATCACTATTTACCACAGCTTACTAAAATCTACAAGATCAAAGTTGAAGAGCAAGATGTCACTGCTGGTAACTACATTAATACACTGCAGAGCTGCTTTCTTGGACAGGAGTTTCCACCACAGATGATCACAAACACTAGAAGAAAAGTAATAACTAGATGTACTACAACTGCTTAACTTCTTGAGTCATTATGGTTCAAGATGGCTGCCAAAGCTGCTCCACATTAGCCAACACAAAAATGGGAATAACAGTTAGTTTCACAGATAATGAGCTAAAGTTTGGTTTGGTAATAGCCAAGACTCACTCACAACACACAGTTCCAGTGTGACATGTTTGGTAACACAAGGAGTAACAGTTTTTCCTCATTTCTCAACACAAGATGATCTTAGTGTAAAATGCATTTTTCAAGAAATGCTAGGACTTTGTTGTTGTTGTGAAATGGGCTGGACAAAACTGAACTGAGTCGACTCTTTTGGGACCGGATGGAGATATAAACCAGCTCCCTGTGACGCTGAACAGAATAGTTGGATCTTCCCAGTGACTACCATAAGCATTTTCACATAAGAGTTAAACTGACATGAAACTGTAAATTAATAGATTTTAATGAATAATTTTTCTGAACATCCATTGCAAAGTGACTTACATGAGCTGTAAGCGGTCCTGCCTCCGGATTAAAGCATTCTTCTTGTTGACTAGCGTAAACCATTCCTGAATCAGTCTCTCCTCTTCCACTTTGTCGCTGCCTGCAGAAACAAAGTGCATTCCCATCACCTGTCTGTTCTTTTCATACCTAGTAGAGAAATTTCATCTCCAGCCTCTTCTCTGGAACGAACAATTGAACCCCACCTTGTCCTAGATCTGCACATTAGTTTTGACTGCCGACAAGATGTCATAAAATCAATAGTAACCTAATAATTTATGTTCACAGGGGTGCTTTAATGAATTGATCATGGTATTCCAGAGTTCTTTGAAAATAGAACCACAAGTTTTTTTTTTTTTGGTTCTTGAAGAATTTAATTTTTAATTTAAAAAGCTTCTTCAGTTCTGACAAGCTGGTGGGAGTTTAAAGATTACAAACTGCAGTAGTACTATGACAAACTGAGAGTATTTGAAGTTCCATGCGTTTTACTAACACAACTGGTCCATCACAGACAAGTGTGGTTTGATCGGAGTCATGTAAAAATAAGAATCCGCCAATGTGAGTCTTAAGTTCATACTGTACTGTGTTAGCTTTAGGAGTTAGCTGGGTGACCTTGGTGTAATCAGCTGGGTAGGTTTAAGCTGTCAAATTAAATTAGTAAAATTTACTGTGGCTCTATCACTAACACTACAATAAATACCACAATTGCAAACCTTGCAAGCAGCTACTGAACTGCGCTCGTTTTACGTTTTAGAATACTTCCAATATACAAACATATTGGTACCAGGGGCAGAGCTAGGAGAGTGGCTAGGGTGGCACTTGCCACCTCTGGAACCAAAATGGCCCCCCAGGTGCCACGCAAGTTGATTGACAAGTCACTGCATGTGGCTTAGAAAGATGCATATTTTCATTCATAGATCTCCCGTATGCTTGAGTGAAAGTATTTCTAATTTGCATGTCATACTGTTATAGTAGGATCTATGATTTGATGATGACTACATTAATAACATTAGTGTGTGTGTGTCAGAGAGAGAAAGAGAAAGAGAGAGAGAGAGAAAGAGAAAGAGAGAGAGAAAAAGAAAGAGAGAGAGAAAGAGAGAGAAACAGAAAGAGAAAGAGAGAGAGAAACAGAAA